ACACTGATAAATATCTACTGAACAGAATTTGTGTGGGAGTAATAATTCAGTAATAAAATAGGTCAAATTAATTTTACTGCTTAAGGGGATCTCTTACAATAACTATTTTGTAACGCTATCTTTGACAGCTTGCTCGGTGTTACACAGTAGGTAGAGCTGGGATAATGTGATATATTTCCAGCTGTAAATGAGCTGTTATAGCAAGGTGCCTATTGGTTGATGGTTCAAATAATGTCTTTCTGCTTTTTGTAGGGTCCCAGGGGCTCTTGGTACTTTATTTCCTGCCATTTTGTAAGGAGACACAAGTCAAGTCAAGTAAAAAGTTACTGAATAATGCTGAGAATTTGAGAAAATGAGCAGTGCAGTCAACTAACAGCACAATCTAGAACATGTCTACTCAGAAATAAGTCCCACTGAGTACAGAGAGCTGAGATATGACTGTCAGAGTTAGGCAATTTCTCTCATGGCTGAGTAACAACAGGGAAGACTCACACACTGGGGATCAGCGGAAAGAGGTTCCAGAGTGACTTGAGCCTCAGCATTGTTTTTTTCTGGAAATTAAGCACCGCCTGGTCTATATTCTCTCTTGGAAGTCACTACTAACCTACTTGTTTGGATGCATCATGTGCTAATCTTTAACATTTTGAGTGATTACTTGCACATATTCTGCAGTGATAAAAGAAGTAAAACAGTGAGGATAACTATTATCCTTTCTCTATTGTGCTTTAAACTTCTTCAGCATCTAATTATCTCTTTCTTGTGGACTTCTTGTTTCTGAGGTACTTAGACTTTTTTATTGTTCATTCTTCTCTTTCAGTTCCTTCTCCATCTGACTTGAATAGAATTTAACTTGCTAGAATTTCTGGCTCTTCCTATTTCCCCTTTCATTGTGGAAAATTTATTCCTTTTAAAAGTACCCCACGCCTAGCCTTCTGCCATGGTGCAAGACTTGTGTGAATTTTTGCAATATTCCCATGGGATTTACAGAAGTATGTTTTGACTGTGAAGTTACATTTAGAGTTAGGGATTGTCAAGAGTGTGTGATTGGGTGCTATTAGAAAAAATGACTTTTGTCACGCACAAAAAGCAAGCAGAAGCCACAGGTGACCTTCTGTGTGGAAGGTGAAGGAGATGTTCTGCAACCAAACACCCCTGATTGCAGAGGCAAACTTGCAGTCTTCACATAATTGTACTTAGGAGCGTAAAGACCACTTGTATAAGTCAAGTTCATGAGAGAGCAAAGAAATAAAACATACAAATTGTTCCAGTGCATAGTTTAGTTACTGAAGATATTTTGAATCTGCTCTTCATTGTTTTCTGATTCCACGGCAGGTTGCAACTTAAATCATGACATCAAAATGCAGATAAAGTACATCATAAAGATTTCATTTCTTTACAAAGCTCATGAGAATTTGGCCACAGGTTCCTATATTGGGATCAGATATTCTCAGAAAATGTAAGCGCTTTTTAACCATCCTTGAAAAATTAACAAAAGGAGCTCCTGTTGATTGTAGTATTTTGCAAAACTGCCTCCTGTCCTGAATTTGGTTCTGCACTAGTCAGGAAAGATACTTTTTTTTTTACATCTGAATCTTGAACTATACAATTGAACCTTGAGGGTTTTTGTTGTTGTTAATTTGAAACTGTAATCCTTGGGCCTTAGTACTGTAATAAGGACCATTAATTGTAAATGTTCTGATGATGAAGATAAACAGTCCCCATCCTGCAGCATCCACAAAAGGGACCTTTCCTGAGGTTTTGCAGAACAAAAGCATAATAATTTATTCAGTTAAAAACTAGGTAGTGAATGGAGTTTAAATGTATAGCCCTATTGATTAAGGTGAAGGCATCTAATCTCAACATCATCTTCTCTGGACCTAAAGGGAAGCACACTTTGGTCCTATCCAGAGCTAGGACCTTTCGTTGTCTCTCTCTCTCTCTCTCTCTCTCTCTCTCTCTCTGTGTGTGTGTGTGTGTGTGTATGTGTGTGTTGTTACAGCCTATTGTAAAACTACCTTGGGGATCATTTGATTGAAAAATGGAATATTAATCTTCTAAATGTTGTTTCCCACACTTGCCTGCCATATATTTCTTGAAAGCCCACAAGGAAAGGAGAGCAAGGCTAGAACTCAAAAGTGTTTTGCCCACCAGAAATTGGAACTCAGAGATAGACTACCTCTGAATCTGGAGGTTTCATTTAGTTACCATGTATTCACCATGAATTTGTCTATTCTCAGTACAGAACAATCTAAGCAAGTGGCCATCACCATTGTGTGTGACAGAAAATTCCAAAAGTTAATTATGCATAGTGTGACAAACTAATTTCTTTTTCTGTCTTGAATCTCCTCCTGGTTAATTTCATTGGCTAAGCACGACTCAGTTCTGTATTATGAGAAAAGAAGAAAAGTGCCTTTTTCTCACCTGACATAATTGGTTGACACCCCTAATTTTAATGGTTAAATGCCCTTTAAATGCCTTGATTGTATAGACCATAATTAAAATGTGTTAACTGTTATCATACATGTGTTACATTTTTCTGTGCTTGCTGTCCTATATGAGAACAGTTGAGGTGAGTGAAGATACTGGAAACCAGAGTTAAAGCCTGGCTGCAACTTTTGTTCTTCTTTTTAAAGCAAAAAACCCGTGGTGGGTGTCACTAGGTGGCAAAGACATGCTTGCCCTATTTAATGGGTAATTATGAGTTCACATGATCACCTTTCTAAAGTTTTCAACCGGATACCTTCCTTATGCAACCTTCTTGCAAAGATATGTGTTTCAGCTTTTTACCTATAATAATAGCATATATTTTAGATGTGTTGCTGTAATGTGGTTGGGACAGGAGAAATAGAAACACAGCCATTTCCCGGCAGATAGTAATAAGATTTCCCCCCCTTCCCTCAGGATGCTCAATGCGCTGAGAGAGGTTTGTAATTATTATCCCAAGATTGATGCTTTTGGCGGGAGTGTAAATTTTGTCCAGTAGTAATCCATTAAGAAATCAATAATCACCCTACCCTGAAATGCAGTTTGTTTTCCTGCTTGTGTATGAACACCAAGGGCCCCCCCCTTTCTTCTAAGTCAGTGTCTTGGACTTTGTCAGAGAAGAGATGAATACAAGAATGGTCAGCTGAACTTAACCTATTTAGTTTCTAGTTTTCAGCCTTGTATTTCTGCAGCGATTGTTCTAGAAGAGGGATGAAGAACCTGTAGCCTTCCCGTTGTGCTGGACCACAACCCTCACCATCCCAGACCATTGACCATGGTGGCTGGGGCTAAGTTGGGACTTGCCCAGCTTCGGAGGGGCCATGGACTCCCCAGCTCTGAGAGACTGGGATTGCAAGTTCTCCCTCCACTTGGGCTTCTCTCGAATCGCACCCACCCCCTTTCTACTCCTTGATTTGCCACCTTGATGTCCTGCTCTAGCACAGCAAATCCCACCAGGGTTCACAGTGTTGTTGTTGTTTAGTCGTTTAGTTGTGTCCAACTCTTCGTGACCCCATGGACCAGAGCACGCCAGGCACTCCTGTCTTCCACTGCCTCCCGCAGTTTGGTCAAACTCATGCTGGTAGCTTCGAGAACACCATCCAACCATCTTATCCTCTGTCGTCCCCTTCTCCTTGTGCCCTCCATCTTTCCCAACATCAGGGTCTTTTCCAGGGAGTCTTCTCTTCTCAGGGTTCACAGTAGCCAAGAATAATTACTGGTGCTACTGTAATTCATCAGAGATCTATTGATCAATGCAGTGCGATGAACTAGAGGCAAAATGATTTTTTTAGAGAAGTTTGAAAAATATTTTCAGATGAGCTTTTATTAAAGCATATCACCTTCAGTCAATATTAAAAAAAAACAAGAATAAAGCCCCCAGAGCACACCAGGCATTCTTAATTTCCAATGTCAAGTTTGCTTTCATTTTAGCAATTACACAGTGAACTCTCTGTAAGATGCTTGCACCAGCAGCTTAGAGCTCAGACCCATAATAGAAGGAATAATAATATTTGACATTTATGTAACACATTTCAGGTGTTCAAAGTGATTTAAAATATTATCTGTAAGCTGCTTTGAGTCTGGGAAAAAGGTGGGATGATGATGATGATGATGATGATGATGAAGAAGAATATGCCCATAGAAAAAGATCTCTGTGATTCTCAAGATTGCTTTCTATAATTCCATTTGCACATTGCAGTGCTGACTCAGCAGGGAGCATGGCATGTTGCCCTATGGATAAGAGCAGAGTAAGGAATTGGGTAAAACAGAGCAGATATTGGTAAAGTAGGCCAATTTATAAGCCATCTGTAATTTTTCCAGGATTCCTGTACTGCCACTGGTGAAGGTTTTTATACCTGTCAAGATTTTCATGCACGACTCCCAGAGCCTTTTTGTAGTCCTGTGGCTGTATATATCAGAACATTATTCAGTTTTCTAGATAATTTCCCATGAAACAACAGGTAACTGTTTCTTTATCTCTTGCCACTGTGCAGAGGAATGTTTGTATTGGGCAGCTAACTGGGCACTCTGAAATGAACCGAGAGACGCTTGATCTCAAACTCAAGTTCTGTGCATGCATTCATTTGGGGTAGATAGGAAGGCGGGCCAGAACGATGCCACTGATCAAACGTCCATGTGTTCAAGTTTCCATTGGCACATTTGGACTGTGATTCACACCTGTTGCAATGGGGGGTATGGGTCTTTATGCGTGGAGCCCCCTGTGCAAATGGCATCTTGAACACAGGCAGGTTTGAGCACAGGGCCAGCAAGAACAGTCCTGATCTTCTCCCCCAACATGTTAATTGCCACATGAAATGGATGCACAGAACTCTTATGGTCTCTGATTAACAAGGAAACCCCTTGGAACAGCACCCCATGTGTACATGTAAACAGTCTAGATGCCCAGTGGCCTCAACCTGGTGCCTTGGGCTGCAACTCCCATGACTCCTGATCGCTGCCCATGCTACGTGGGGCTCTGGAAGTTGGTCCAGCCCCATCTGGAAAGGACCATACCTGTTGCTCAGTGGTAAAGTGTCTGCTTTGCATGCAGAAGGTCCCAGGTTCAATCCTTGGCCTTTCTCAGTAGGACTGGGAGAGACTCCTGCCTAAAGGCAGCTTTCTGTGTCCCTGTGACCTGGATTAAAAAATGGGGGGAAAGAAAAAACACCAGCCATATGGTGGGCTTATTCCTCCCTCCTTAAATATTCTGACTGCTCATCCCATGCACACATTCATATGTCTGCTTTGCTCTGGTTTATGCAGCAGCTAAAATTTCTGAAATAATCAGTTTAGTTTTCAGCTGCTGATTAGTGTGTTCCTTTAACCAAACCAAGAATGGTTCTAAGAATGGAAACAACTAATTAAACCACCATATAATGGGGGGGGGGGCACGTCAGCTGAAAGCTACAGATCTTAAGGGGCATCTTATTCTAGGCTACTAGTTTTAAAGACTGTTGTATCAGCATTTGTGCCTCTGTGTTTAATTCTTCATTTCCCTCCCACATCTCAAAATGCCCTTCAACAATTAATCGCAAACCTACAAAATAAGCGTGAAGTGAATAGCAATGGTCCTGAAACAGTCATGGATGTTTTGTTAGTGCCAGTCTGATTATGAAGCAGGGAGACGTGATCCAGAGCTTCCCTTGCGCTTGATCCAGAAGTTGGAATCAGTGCAGGCCTGGTCAGCGTAGAACTCCTGTGCCTGGAGATCTGCACCAGTTGCTGATTTTCTCCAGGCCAAGTTTGAGTGTTACTATTAGCATATAAAGCCCTTAACAACTCAGGACCAGTTTACCTATGAGGTCACTTTATCCCTCGTGTGCCCACTCTGACCACCTTGATCTGCAGAATTGGCACTACTTCAGGTGCCACATAATACCTGCTCTTCTTTGTAAGAATTTGATCATTTAGCGCGGCAGCGCCTGCACTTTGGAATTCCCTGCCTATTGAGATCAGGCAGGTGCCTTCACTGTCCTCTTTTCAGCACCTGCTAAAAACATTCCTGTTTAGATAGACCTACCCAGATGCTTAGACAGTTGAGGTAATTTCAGTATTTTAACTTTGTATGTTTTAAAGCAGGGTTGTAATTTTTTATTGGCTTTACTCTCTTACCTTTTGTAAACTGCTTTGAGATGTTGTTGCTGTTGTTTAGCAGTGTATAATTTTTTTATGAAATAAATACAATAAATAACTTATGCAACACAACCTGTCCCACAAAACTAGATTTAAAAGCCTCTTCTGTGGCAGCCTACCTAACATTTTCTTTATTTTTCGATTTATTTTTTATTTTTTTGTAAATGGATGGTTATGCAGAAGGTTGGTTCTAATTTTTAACTGATTTTTTTTTGTAGCCTGATGGTTAAAATCCACCCTTAATGCCAAATTTAATGTGTCTTGCTTGCACTCTCCTTACCCCTCCCCCCAGGCCCTTGCATGCTGCCGTTAACAACTTTAGATTCTTAGCAAACCGTACTTTGCAGTTTGTCCCAATGGCCAATGTATGGTTTGTGCTTTCCTACAAACCAGGATCAATTGCAGTACTCAAGGCAAGGGCAACACATAATTTAGTGTGGTGTAAGAGTATTAGACTGCAGAGACCTGGATTCAAATGCCCCCTCTGGGATGTGGCTCACTGGGTGGCCTTGGAACAGGAGTTATCTGTCAGCCTAATATACCTCAGAAGGTAGTTGTGATGATAAAAGGGGTGTGTGGGGGAGAACATGTCTGCTGCTCTCCACACCTATATATTCAACAACAACAAAGGATAGTTTGGATGAATAGTATGGATGAATTGGCAGACTCGTTTGACTAAGACCGGAAGTTACTAACTGTGGTTCACAGGGGCAGGAGGGAGCGGGAGATTGGCCCGCGTGAGCCTGAGACTTGACATTGCAAACCATGTTTCAGCATTTGATCTCACCTTCCCCAGTCTCCCCCAAAAGCACCAAGATGTAGAGGTTGTAGATTTTGACATTTTGAGTTCTTTCTTTCCCTGCATTTCCCCCCTTCTTTCTATGCTCATAATGCTCATAACATTATTCTACATGCTTACCAGCAGCTCCTGGCAGGCTAAATGAATAGACAAATCCTCCAAATGTGGGCTTATCAATTATGGTTGTTTACTTGCACATTTACTTATTTCCTCCTCTTACTTTGAGCATTCCATTTGAAGTTTCTGTTTTGTTTTTTAAAAAAATAATATTTCTTAATTTTCAACTGTTTAAACACAACAAAATAGAAAAAAGAAAAAAAGAAAAAGAAAAAGCATAACAAAATAAGACACAAACCATTTAAAACACAAAACAATTTCAAAATCTTATCTTTCATTCTCTTATTTCCACAACCTCCTCACACCTCCCTTTTTGTATTCCACTTCTGTTAATTGTTTCAGCAATTCCTTTCCATCTTCCTCTGTTTCTATCCTATAATTATCTTAACATATTCTAACCTTATTTTTCCCTTTAATACTCTATTAATCTATTTATACTTAATTCCTTATAGCATTTCTACTAGAGCCATATAACTTCATTCCAACATTTTTCTTACATTCATTATTTTTACAGTATTTCTATAAATAGTCTTAAACTTTTTCCAGTCTTCTTCCACCGACTCTTCTCCCTGGTCTCGGATTTCTGCCAGTCGTTTCCGCCAATTCCATATAGTCCATCAACTTCATCTGCCATTCTTCCCGAGTAGATAAATCTTGTGTCTTCCAGTACTTCACAATGAGTATTCTTGCTGCTATTGTTGCATACGTGAAAAAAGTTCTATCCTTCTTTAACACCAATTGGCCGACCATGCCCAGGAGAAAGGCCTCTGGCTTCTTCAAAAGGGTATATTTAAATACCTTTTTCATTTCGTTATGAATCATCTCCCAAAGTGGGCATGTCCACCAAAGGTGAATTCTAATCCTCAAATTCGTCTGTTTTTCTTTAAGTTCAGTCATAGCAAGCGTCAACTTATGTTCATCAAGTTGCCTCTGTAGGGCTGAGGCTCTCCTTCTCTTTCTCTCCAGTTGTGTTACTTTACATTCAGCAACAACAGCTTTTTCCCTGGCTTCCTCCGCAGTTTGCCGTATCAAAGTAGGTTCCTGTATCAATTTCTGGGTGGTTTCTGTATTGGTATTATATATACTTTCTGTATTTAAGTTAATTTTAGTAATTGAAACATCCACTTTTGCATTTATTGTGTCCATTTTCGTGCATTTGAAGTTTCTGGATGAGCAGTTAAAAGAACTCAGAGCTGAGATGCATAAAATGGCAGACAAAAATGAACTAGACGAAGCTGAGACTGAAGTGGACACTTGGAAAATGATATACAGTGGTACCTTGGTTTACGAACTTAATTCATTTCGGAAGTCTGTTCCTTAAACCAAAGCGTTCTTAAACAAAGACATGCTTTCCCATAGCAGCGGGGGACTCAATTTACAAATGAAAAACACTCAACAGGAAGCGGAACATGTTCTGCTTCCAAGGCAAAGTTCACAAACCAAAACACCTACTTCCGGGTTTGCAGCATTCTTAATCCAAGTTGTTTATAAACTAAGCTGAAAAAAAAATAAATGTCCAGTAGCACCTTAGAGACCAACTGAGTTTGTTCTGGGTATAAGCTTTCGTGTGGTCTCTAAGGTGCTACTGGACAATTTTTTTATTTATTTCGACTGCGTCAGACCAACACAGCTACCTACCTGAATCTATAAACTAAGTTGTTCTTAAACCAAGGTACCACTGTAGATGGGGGACTGCCAGAGCAGGAGAGTGGATGCAGTGGGTGATGAAATGCAGTGGACCTCTGCTCTGGATCAGTGAGGGGATTGTAAGCAGATTAAAGTGATGGCTGTTTGGCAAAGGACCTTGTGGGAGAGGAAGGGAAGGAAGGGAAGATCTCCCTGGGTGGGAGGTTGGGAGAAGAAAGGGAAGCTCCCAGGTGAGAGCTGGGGGGGGGGTGTTCAACTCTCTGTGTGAGACAAGAGTTACCTGCGAGAGAGGACCCTGCGTTCTTCTTTCTCTTTCTGTTTAGATCAGCTTGTTTGGTTTATTGTATTATATATGAAAAGCCTTAATAAAATATATATTTTTAAAAAGAATTTGAAGTTTCAGTGGTGATTCACTTGTCATCCAGGCAACCACTGCAGCTTCTTGTTCCATGAGGCAAACGGTTAAAAAAAGAAAGAAAACTACCTGGTGGGATGTTGGCCTGTGTGTGTGTTGTTGTGTGTGTGTGTGTGTGTGTGTGTGTGTGTGTGTATGTTCGTGTTCTGTGTTACAAGTTAAGTCTCTGTGTTTTGGCTCAGATGAATGAGCAGTGGGGTTTAGAAGACTGGTAAATGTGTGCATTAACTCTAAAACTCTTGGGATGTTTTCAAAGCTTCAGTCACTAATCCTGTTACAAGTAATGGGATTTGTGGATGTCACTCCCATGCAGGACTGTTTTTGAAAATGTATCGTTAAGTGTCAAAAAGTTTCAAGACTGATGTTTAACTTTGCACATGATTTTATTATATCTCTGGCTTGTTTGTTTTCCCAGTGCTTTAATTTGCACTGGCTATTGGAATCAACGTAAGCCTGAAAGATTGGTGGGTTTTATAAGCTGTAATGCAAACCAAGAAAAATATGATCTAATGGTAAAGAAGCTTAAAAAAAAAAGTCTCATAAGATTTCTGTTACAATACATTGTGTAAATTTTTGATAGTATATTGTTTTATTTCGACACATTCTGGTAGCCTAAACTTGTCAGGCACGGGTTTTCAAAATAAATATAAAATGAATACAAAGCAAGTGAAAAGCTTGGGTGTCCTGACATGTGCTGATGCCAGCTAGAAAGTTAAAAAGTATTTTTCAGCCTTGAATAAATAGATTTATATTTCACATGCTTATAGCTTCATTGTTTTATGACATTGTTGCCAAGCAACCCGAAATGGGTAGGGGGGTACTTTTTTGAGAGAGAGGGAGAGAGAGAGCGCACACACATTTTTTAAAAAGTATATGTTAGAGGTTGCTAGGAAAGGCCAGAGGATACAGAATCGTTTTAGATGCCAGGAATGTATAAATTCGGTGCTATAAAAGTGTAAACTTTCCTATGCCAGTAATGTAACATCACAAGTAGATTCTCATTGAGGCCCTAGGAGCATGGGGCATTTGAAAAGTAAAGTGCAGCAGGTGAAAATATGGCAGATAAGAATGGTTGAGAATTTAGGCATTTGTAGCCTGGGAGAACAACAAGGGAATTGGGTCTAGATTCTACATAATTAAAGCGGTTATGACTGAAGTTAGCCTCTGTGAGGATCCTTTGAAAGGAAAGGCCATAGCAAAAATATCCCCAGTTCTATCAATCTTGCACAGCATCCTTTGGCAACAGAACATCTTTCTGTGCCCTAGAATTTTCTCCAAAATGGGATGGCGATAGTCTAGTGCAATGAGGAGGATGCAGAAGGGTAGCCAGCCTGCCAGCACAATTGCTGCTGCCACTGCTAATGGTGAGCTGGGTCCCCAAGAACTGTTGGATTCAGCCAGGCACAAAGCAGCAAGAGAAGATGAGGACAAGGGAAGGAACTGGGCACACCAGCCTTTTCCTGTGCCCCAAACTGGTCTTCCAGCTAACGTCCTTGTTGATTACTAAACCTATATGAACTGCTTCCCCACACATAAGAGACTATCTATCTAGTTCAGCAATTTATGGGAGATATACCGGCTAACTTCAATCTCCCTTGCTCCACTTTTATTTCATTTAAAAGAACCTCTGTGGTCCACCCTGTGTCTCGGTGGTCTGGTAGAAACCAAGAGAGTACCCTCAGAATTTCTTAACTAATCTGTGTTAATTGATGCTGGGTAAACTTCACACTTTAGTTAGTAGCTCTTAACCGTGGTAGCTATGTTCTACTTCCACTGTCAGAAGCAGCAGGCTTCTGAACAACAGCTGCTGGAAACCCCTGGGGGGAGAGGGCTCTTGTGCTCGGGTCCTGATTGTGTGCTTCCCACTATGAGCATAGGATGCTGGACTAGATGGACCTTTGACTTGATCCCGGAAGGCTCTCCTTATGTGGTTCTAGGTGAACTGCTATAAATTGATCAATAGTTCACCAACAGATTCCTTCACCTTCCCACCCACCTTTCATAGAGTTCTTTTCACATGCTAACTTGTTAGTCCTCACAACAACCCCTTATCTGCTTTACCTCACAACACTCCTATGATTTAGGACCTTATTCCAATATTGCTGTTGAGCAGCTTAGGCGAGAAAGTAGTGGACGCTGCCCCACCAACCTCAGCCTGTCTTTAGTCAGCCCCACCTGCCCACTGCCTTTCTTATACTCAGCTCTGGCCTGTTAGTCTCCCCACCTTCCCCTCCACCAGTCCCAGTGGCTGCCAGCCATCACCGCTAGAAAGTGTCTTGTCTAACTGAGGTATAGAATTGCCAGTTCCAAAGTCCTTACTATCACCCAGACCCCACTGCTCTCAAACAAGTTCATTTGTTCAGTAATCAAGACATGATGTCAGGGACTGGGTAGATGAAGAATGGTAGAGACCGCCACCCCAGGCGTCACCCAGGGAGGAGGAAGGGGCAGATAGCATAGACCTCCAGGAATGGTTTGGCCCAGGCAGAGGGAGATGAGGGCAAAAGCTGGGAAATAACGGGAGAGGAGGAGGAATTGGATAGCATTTAGCAGCCAGAGCCAGAGCAGCAGTTGGATGAGATGCTGTTGCTGGAGAGCATCCCAGAACCCGTACCCTCCGCCCAAACCAGGTGTTCGCTGAGCATAGCAGAACAGAGAGCTCAGAGGCAACTGTCACATAACAGCCACAATCAGAGACAGGAGGAGGAGTCTAATGAATAGGGAAGTAGTGGAGAAGGGGAGGTGGAGTTTCACTCAGGTGGAGCTTCAACATTAAGCATTACGGTTCATCTTGGATTCATCTCTGTAAATTGTATTAATAAACAGAACTGAAAAAGGTTGCTGTTTCTCTTTCTCACTTTTTGAACCTGCCGACAGCACCCTGACACATGGGTTGTAGTTCCAATGTTTCCTATCCAAGAAAGTTAGAATGGCGTTTGCAAAGCTCTGTGTTAATTTTGTTTACGAAGAAATATACAGTATATGACTGTATCTACCCGGAGAGCCTGTCTGTGCAACTGATGATGCCTTTCATGTCAGAAGTAAAGGAGGAGGCAACTAGAGAGAGGGGTCCCCCCCCTTGTTTTTAAAAATGTTTTTCTATGCCTTGGTAAAACCATCCTGTGGCACTTAGCCAAAAGTCAAGGGGAAATCTCATAATAGAGGGCATTTGACTTAGTCAGAGCAAGAAACAGTGAGGAACGCTGTGGGCTGATTCACACATTACTTTTTCCTACGTGGAGATCACTGCTTCATAGGAAAATACAAGTGTACCATAGTGCGCGGATTGTGAAATTAATTGTGTGTCGTTGTCCCCACCTCACAAGTACACAAATCAGGAGACCTGTGAAATTGCTCAAAACGAAGAAGGCTGCTCCAGGAGATGAAATTTAGCAGAAACTCCCCTGCCTTACATTACTAGAATAAGAGAAGAGGACTTCCGGGTTAGCGCCATCGGCGAATGGCGGAGTTCCTCCGACTGGAGGAACTAGCTCCGTGGAGACTGGGTCTTCCCGCCGTGGCGAAGGTGGGGACCTGCTAGAAATCCCAGGCGGAGGAAGCCTGGGAACGTGGGGTTCGGCAGGGCACCAGGAGCGCCCCCCCTACTCACGGGGAACCCCTTTCTGGGATTCCGGAGTGAAGTGGGGTGAGCGACGCGGTGCTGCGAACTGACTGCTACTTTCACGGAGTGAAGCCGCACAGCCATCGCCAGAGAGCGCTAACTTTTTCCTGTGGACAATTGGATTTAAAACTAGGAACCCGTGAGTAGAAACGGAAAATTGGATCAAGAAATATCTTAATTCGACATCGAAGCGGGAAGGTTCAAAACAGGAAGTCCGCCTTCCGCTTTTTGTATATAGACTGAAGCAAAAACCTTGTAAGCTAAAGCCTGGAAAGTCGTTAAAAAAAGCCTAAATTTCCTTCATTTATAACTACTGAAACCCCCTTGGAAGCAGGGGAAAAGGGGGGGGGGACTTTGTGTAACGCCTGCAGGAGAGGGAGTGAAGAAAGATAAGTTTCCACCGTCTCTAACCTGGGAACGGGGTGTCAGAGACAGAAATTGTTTGAGAGGTTCATTGACTGTGAATGGAATACTTTGACAGATAGCTAAAGAAGAGAAATAAACTGATTCCAATGTTGCCTTTTGCATTCTAAAGAAACAAAATATCTGAAAAATGAAAGTAATTTTCCTTTGTTGGACTTGCCTTAAAAAGATGGATACAAATAGAAATTGTCTCCTCTAGAGGGAGCTTGCTAAATTGTTGCTGCAGTCTACTTGAGGAATCCACAGCTGTGAGATTAGGATCGTGGGATTAGTCCTTTTGACCTTGACTAAATATGAGCTGGAAGGAAGTTTTGGTGCTTGCTTTATGCAAGACAAATGCTTTGTTGGAACAGATGCACGAGAAGATGGATTTGATGAATGAGAAAATGGATTTGATGACTGTTGTGGCCAATAACCGTGGACAAATAGTGAATAGTGATATAGAAACCATCCAGGGTCCAACTCAGGAACCTGCATTGATTGGG